ATTTGATGATGGCTTGTTGCGAACTTGGCGAAGATGAGGAACAGAATAATGGCCACATGCAGAGCAACAGCTGCCTTTCAAGTGCTAACGACAGTCCACTGATTGTTGAGCTTCTGGAGAATCAGGTTTCGCTTCTGCGCGATCAGCTGGATCAGAATCAGTCCCATCCGAGTACGCTACTAGTCATTGTCGAGCGTCAAGAGAATGAAATCGAGAGTTTGAAGTCGCAACTGAACGCGGCACAAACAGATATCGCAAACGCAGAGAAAGAGTTGTCTAGACTAAGACAGCAAAAGGCCGAAGCGTCCATCAGGGAGAAACAAGTAGAAGAATTGTTGAATACAATACAGAGGACTGAGCAGCAAAGAAACAAGGATCTAGACGACCTAGAAAAGATGAAAAAAATGTACAATAGAGACAAGGAGATTTTGGAATGCAAACTATTGGAAACAGAGGCTATCTTGAGGGAGACGACAGAGAGATGCGAAATGCTTACGAACGAATTGACATCGAGTCATAGAACTGTCGAGCATTTGCAGACAGAAATAACAACTCTCAGCGACAGATTGTCACAAGGTAAATATATACGCTTTCTTAAAATAAAATTTGATTTTATATTTAGCTTAAGAGTTTAAATAATTACTGGTTGATAATATATTATTACCTAAATATCTTATTCTCTAGGTATAGAGGAAAACGAACGGCTTTACAATAGAGTAAGGGAATTGGAAGAGAAGAATGGATTCTCTGCTTCGAGGGAACGTGGGAGAAGCTTCGATTCGCTTAGCGATTTGACCAACATCGAATTGGATTTAGATTTGACTGCATTAGATAAGGAAAGGTAAATACGCATTGTAAAATATGATAGTAATATATTATAAATAATAAATAATATATATATTGATCACGTATACGATAATATATTCCTGTGGTAGGGTCATGGAAGAGTATGACGAGTTGCGGAGCCGTTTTGAGAAAGCTGTTATGGAGATTCGAGCTATGAGAAAGGAACTGCGAGAAGCTCACGCCACGCAGGATGTTTTGGAATTAGAAATTTTTGCTCATAAACAAGACGCAATTAGTGTCAGTGAGAGCAATCAAGCGCAGATTCAGCTAATGGCAGCGAGAATTCAGGATCTGACTAACAAGCTAGCCGCTAGCGAAAAGCAGGTTAGAACGCTGAGGCAGAAACTGACAAAAGCCGAAAGTAGAGATAAGAGAAGATCACTCTCTCTTAAAGGAAGAGAATCTTTCCAAATTTCTCAGGAGGTAGAGGACAAATTATTGGACTTAGAAAATAAGATCTGTGCTATAGAAAAAGGTAAGAGCATCAGCGCTCCCGTTTCGGCGGGCAATAGCTCGAAGGAATCGAGTCCTAATTTGAAAAAGGAAAAAAGACGAGAGAGCAAGAATTTGGATCGTACTAAACTGCGAAGAAAGTCTTTAGATAGCGCGACAAGCTCTGAACCAATGAAAGTATTGATTAGGCTGAGCACTTTAGAAACAAAAGTAGCAAACGTCGCTGAGACTATGGTCAGCGATGCGGAGAAAGATTCCAGCGAATGCAGTGAAGTCAGTGGATCTTCCGAGATATCTTTAGAGGTATTGGCAAGGCTGAAGAAACTGGAAAGAGCGGTATCGAAGTCGAAACGACGATTAGAGAAGTGTCTCGGCTCGACACAAGCGGAGGATAAAGCCGAGAAATGTTTGCGCGATGTAAATGAAATATTGGATTCGTGCTTAGAATGTAAGAAGAACCAGGCTAGCGCTCAAATCATCGAGTCAGTAGGAGTAGTAGTATCTAGGCTAGAAATTATACTTAAGGATAAATTGAGCGAACTCACGAAGAGACGGCAGTCGCTGGCGCAGGAAGGTCGACTGGACGAGAGAGAGAAAATGAAGCTCGTTGCTGAGAGGATAGCATTCGAATCTGTGATCCTGCGACAGATAAAGTGCGCGTTAAGTCGCACAACAGACAAGAGTGCCGTTCTGAGTGAATTGGTCGAAACTAGTCAGCTTGCCTCAAGCTTAAAGCGTAAGATTCACGGAACTAAGCCCAAAACGTACCAAAATACGAATTATATTCAATATCTTACTAAGGTGTTAGCTAATAAGTTAGTACTGGTAGGAAACGTTTCCGCATTGACGGAAACATCGAAGGAAATTAGTGCGGCTCGCAGCGAAAGTCTGAACTTTTTACTGCAAAAGCAACGGGAGATCAACGATATCATGCGAAAATACAAAGACACGAAGCTGCAACAGCTCGCGGAAGTTCTTGCTGTCGAAACGCTGAGTCTGTCCGAACAAGAGGATTTTGCGGGCAAACAAATTAGCGGATCAAATAAAAAACTGCTCGAGGATAGACGTATTCGCGAAGCGTGGGCTTTAGCGCAAGAGACAGTTAGTAAGGAGCTTGTGCAAGCCGAAGTGTCTCATGTTATTATGCGTTATGGTCAACTATACGAGCAAAACGTTACTTCGATCACGGATACTTGTCTTAGTTTTGACAGTACGGACAATGTCAGATTAGAATCGTGGATGGACGCAGCGCAAGCGCGACTGCGCCAGGAAATGGAAGTCTCTATACACGAACTGTCGGAGGCTTATGAGGAATGTTTACGTACGATGAAGAAGAACAAGTTGACGGTGATTGATTCCAAACATGAATCTCGTCAGCTACTGACAGACTACGCTGACGTTATTGCGCACAAAGCTTTAATAGACTCCAGAATCGCCCTTCTTCAGGAAACCACGCGGCAATCAATTACGACGTTATCTGGAGAGACTTTCGTATCTAGTCTTATTCGAAGCGAAGAGCTTATTTCCTGTTTGATAAATGATGAAGGATGCGACTTTCAAAGCAATCCGATCCTCGACGCGGAGTATAGTTACCTTTATCAACGATTGACCAAGGAATGTGAAGACAGAATATCCGGGAAAAAAGAGTCGAAGGAGCAACTTAAAAATGTCAGTCAATCGTTGTTTTATCTGGAAGAGGATTTAGCCGAACTCAGCAAATGTATAAGAGACAAAACGGGAGTGGGTATCGATAATATTGCTTGGCCCAGATCGACAAGCAACATAACCGATTGGCCTAGCATTTGCGAGAAGTGCTTGCACTTGCGGGAACAGATAAAGAAGCTGGGCGATTATATGAACAACATGTCGTGTCAGACATGCAATCAATTGCAAGGAACTCTTCAGAAAATAACTACCGAGCACAATAAAGAACTGGAAATGCTCAAGCGCAATCAAGAGAGGGATCTGATGGACATCAAGGGCGAATTAGACAATCAGCGACAGTCTCTAACAACCCAATATGAGCAAGAAGCGGCTAGTTTACGCGAGAGAGCCAGAAAACTCGAGCATCGTCTCAACGCGATGGATTCCGAGCATTCGGCTCATGTAAACGAGTTGAGAGCCGCCTATCAACGATCGATAAGTGCCGAATTGGACACCGATGCCGAGACGCGGAAGCGGTACAAGGAAGAGATCAAGCAACTACGGGTATTATGCGAGAAAGGTTTATTGGCTATGGAGAACTCACATAGGCGTATCATCGCCGAGATGGAGGAAAAGCATCGACAAGAGTTGGAGAATCTGAGAGTGGAGAAAGAACAAGCGCTCTCTGAAGAGACGCAAGCAACTCTAGCTGCATTGGATGCCATGAGGAAAGCACATGAACACGAGGTGCAAAAGGAAATTGCCAAGTTCAAGCAAGAATTTATCAAGCAAATGCAGGCGCGCGAGGATATCGGAGTGTTACACAAGGAACACGAGTATGTAAAAATATGAATTCAACATTAGCCATTGCGAATAAATTTATGTGAAAAGAAATTCATGTCTATTTCTTATAGGGAAGAAATGGAAGAAATAAAGCAAGAGATTCTTTCCCTGTCTGCCAAGTATTCATCGAAATGCGTGGAGTCTGCAGCATTGGAAGAAAAAGTGGGCAATCTGTCCAAGCAACTTGCCCAGGCGCAACAGCACATCATGCAACTGGATGCGAGAAATAAGCAATTGAGAGCGCATCTAATGCTGGAGACGAATGACGGTGGTATCAACGATAACATACAGATTCTGAGAGGTAGGGACAACGAGATCGCTGAATCGAGGGAAGAGATACATCGATTGCAACAACAATTCAAGGTACGATTGCTCCACGGCTAAAAAAAGTTTAGGAAAAGTACATGTGATTAACATACACTTATGTATACTACTTAATTAACTCTTTTTGCTGCAATTACATATTATGGTGTTTCGCCTATCGAGCTTGTCGCGCTTTGACGAAACTCCGACCGTATCAGTATCTTAATCACTCAAATAAAAACTTTGCGCTTCTCATTAACGATCTTTCCCCTCATTGCTCTTATTTATTCGAACATACATATCGGTTTGTACATAATATAATAAATATAATATCAGATCATTATTTGATAAACGAATTCGGCTATCGCAAATACCATAACTGATGTAATTGTAACTCAGTAAACATACAGTTTCAACGATTTGACTTAGCATTTAACCATTCCACCCTCCCCCCCCCCCCCCCCNCCTCCCCAACGCTCACTCATTAGCCGCATTGACGCATATTTTCGATATTTCACTAACAGCATGGGGACACCCCTCGTGAATCGTCCGGCGTGCCGTCGAAAGCCGCCCTATCGCTAGACTACTCGCCCGCCTACTCGCCGCAACGCTTCAGAGGTAGTCAAAGTAGCGGTGAACAGAAATTAATGAGCGAACGAAACCTAAAAGGGGCGAATACCCTATCCAGCGTGTTACAAAAACGATCCGTGTCGATGGATCGGCCTCAGAGCGCATTCTCATACAAACTCGAGCGCGTAAAGTCGGTTTCATTGCCGTATTCGAGTAGCTTGATAACCAGGCCGGCGAGTAGTGTCGGCGTTTCCGGCTCGCACTTTGACGGAAAAGAGCCGCCGGCGAGCTTAGAACAAAAGGGTCAGGAACGTAACGTTCGTCTGGGTTCGCCATTATGGGACAGTTTGAGACCGAGGAGCGGCCTGCCTCATCAATATCAAGGTACTGGAGAGAGATGAATGCTAAGAGAAAAAGAGAAAGAGAGGAAGAAATCTGTGGTGATGGAATGAGTTGTTGGTCGACAATTGGAAATATGGTGCTTTTGTAAAATATTATACCGTTGACGGAATCATGGTTTTATTGTCAATGATATCGTTATTATTTTATAACACATTTTATGCAGCATTCGGTTCGGAGATTTTTACTTGAAACAACTTTTGGCATGCAACCCAAAAAGTCGTATTGTTTTCTGATGTAATAACAGAACAGAATAAAACAGTGCGAGAATTAGGCAAGGCTTTTTCTACGTTCGATTGTTACTAGCTTGCGAAGGCGAGATAGAGATTAATGAGATTAACATGTGCTTTATGCAAATTAACAGCGCTTTTAAGATATTAACACAGTCGAAATCTCGTTGACTGACGTGAAGACTACGAATATATTTTCTTCTTAGTACGCATAAATATATGTATATAGCTGTGCAGTATTTATCGAAAAATGCGATAATTGTTAATTTGTAGCCTAAATTGTTAATTTGAGAGCTTGTTCGTATATAGCATGTATTTATAAATAAATTTAAGTCTTTTCTTTATTGTGACAATATTGTTATTTGTAGTACTAATTTCTTTGAGAGAAAAGTTGACAAAAATGGCGATTGATTAACCTTAATTCGTCATTTATAAGTTGTACTGATATTTGATGTCAAAAATGTGCCTATACTAATTAACTGGTATCAACTGCATACGATTATTATGCAATGCTTGTCTAACACTGGTTATTTGCTAACACAAACTGTATACGAGTCCATGTGCAATAATCTGCGATATAAAATCTTGTCTTACCATGATTGTAACGCTATATGCTATAAATGTCTATTCTATTATATAAAGATATTAAATTAGCCATATATCGTATATATAACACATGCTAAAGATGTGCAAGTGACATGCAAACTATATGTTGATGAAAAAATTGTCATGTTTGCATATCATAATTTTTACGAAGAAGTTTAGCAATTCTAATCATAAAAAGTATGTAATAAACTATTTCTCAGTTATGAACATCACTGGCGCATCTTCAACTAGAAATATTTTTTAAAAATAATATACACATATGTATATTTAAAAGACGCGGAAATCTAAATTAAGTCCAAGAAAGATCTAGCAAATCTGAAGGACATGAGTAAGAATTATAATAAATCCTTTGCACACAGTTCCAGAATAATCAAAAACATTAGATGTAAAAGTATTATATGACATATTTTATAGCGATTGAGAATTCGCGGTTTTAATGTTTCTCACTATATTTTCGTAACACGTGATACCCGATATTGTCGCGAAAGACATTTATAGATATACACAACGACGGCATACGACAATGTCTATAAACCGTAACAATATCTCGGCAATTATTTGGAATGTAAGGTGGCACAACAACAGAGATGCGAGTCGGCAGTGGCCCCTGGCAGAAGAACAAACAGAATGAAAAGCAACAGCAGCACCCGCAGGCATACACCCTCCGTGCCGACACTCGTAACACATCCCGCTTCACCCCGGAACCCGCAGCTCTCTCCGTTGCAGGTCCGTTTTGCGTTATTTGTTGCTTCGTTATCTTGATCGTAGTATCGTTTCGTTTACGTTATTTGTTTTTATCGCATCTTTACGTTTTGTGAGTTGCATCTTGTCTGCTACATTTCTCGTGTGCAACACTGATTAATACTTGTGTTTATATACGCTTTACATGCTTGAAAGATCCTTATAATTACGAATAATATTTAGCGCAAATCATTGTCATATATGTATATGTTATAGAGTTGATGAGGTCTCCAGTAGTGAGGTGGTCCAGCAGAAGTTGTCGCAGCCTGCCTCCGACACCTACACCGAGTTACCATCATCCACTTCACCCTCCTCTACCTGCCGTAGGCATGGTCGCCGAGAGAAAGAAGCGTTTCGAGCTTTAAATTCCGATTTCTTTGTCTTTTGTGTACTTTGATCGATAGTAACGAAATTGGATCGCACATACAAAAACGATTGAAATGATTATACTTGATATATATCTAGAAGAAACAAAATTTAGACAATTCGAACAATTAAAGTATATCGCATACTATTTATGATATTAAAAAGGAAGGGAATTTCGTGCGATATGCGCTTTTTTGCTCTGAAATTGCAAGAATGAAAGCGTTTCAATATCACTCATGGACCAATAAATAATATCTTTAAAATCGTTCCACGCGATAGACCATTCGGACAATACTATATTTACGATTCGCGAAGCGCGCGAATCGCAGTTCCACCACTGCCATACGAGAATCAGTGAGGCTCAAGAGATTTTTGATGGACCAAAGTTGAAATGCCGGTCGGGCTCGTCGTGTTAATATTGAGCGTGTTTATCAGGTAAACATGATTCAATAGCCGAACCGAGTTCCGATTGTTAGAAGAGGGTAGATTACGTATTCCCTCTCTTTCCCTTTCATGGTATGAAAAGACGTAATGTTGAGAG